AAATATTCACCCATCTGTTCACCCACTAACCTACCCACAACCCTCCCATCTCCCCAACCATCCACCCAGCCATTCACCTACCTATCTATTCACCATCCATGTGCAGCCCACCCATCTATCTGTCCATCTACCTACTCACCCATCCATTCACCCAACCACCCATCTATTCTCCCATCCATCTGCAACCCTCACCATGTATTTATCCGTTACCTACTTGGTATCCATTATCTATAAATTATCTACCCACCCACCCATATATTCACCCATCCACTGACTCACCCTTACATCTATTCATCAATATTTATTAGGACTATGCCACATTCAAGGCAGGTCTGGGCTGGGCACGTCTGATGGGAAAAATAGGCCTGACTTTTTCCTGCAGTTTATGATTTATTCAGGGAAATGGTGCATAAACAAACAAAATCCCAGCTCACAATTGTGAATGCACTAAAGATTACATACAAGAGGAGATTAGGGCCCTTCAGAAACAGAACATACGTATACATATATGCACATGTGTGAGCATATATGAGAAGGGCTTATTAGGGCAATTGGCTCACATTGGTTAAGTCCCACTATGTACTGTCTGAGAGCTGGAGCTTCAGGGAAGCTGATGTCTCAGTCCATTTGTAAGAGCCTGAGACTAGGGAGCCAACATCGCAAGTCCTGGAGCCTGAAGCCTGGCAAACCTGATGTTTGTTCAAGGGCAGAAGAGTTCCCCTCTCCAGGGAGAGAATGAATTCATATTCTGTCTTTTTGCTCTCTCTGTGCCCTCAAACATGGGCCAGGCCTGTCCACACAGCAGGTGGGTGATGTGCTCTCTAACACATATGCTAGGGGGTCTCCATATACACCCTCACAGACATGCTCAGAAAGGATGCTTTACCAGCTGTCTGGGCATCCCTTATTCCAGGCAAAATTAAATCATCACAGAGGGCAACAAATGGGGGCTTTCCTTGGCTGAGGTGAGCTGGGGAGGCCTCTCTGAGAAGGTGACCATTGAGATGAGATGCAAACACCAAGAAAGGACACAGATCTGGGGGAAGAAAATCCCAGATAGGGGAAGCAGGTGCAAAGCCCTCTGGGTAGAGTAAGTTGGGGCTTTACAAGGAACTCTGGGAGGTGGTGGGGCTGAAAGGCATGAGTCATTGGAGAGGGATAGAAGCAGGTTGACCAAGTCTGAGGCTCCCAGGGAAGTGTCACACCTTAACGACCAGCAGGGTGTCCCCCAAACATTCAAGTAGGGTGTGAATACTCTGGCCTTCTGCTTGGATCTTGAATTACTGTATTAGTCTTACAGTTGATATACAGTAACCCTCAGTCAGCTTCAGTCACCTACTATCAACCACAACCTGAATAGAAAATTCCAAAAATAAGCAACCCATAAATTTTAAATAACTCTCATTGCAGTAGTTCTTTGTGATTATCTATTAATGCTATCATTCTCTTTTCATATTTTATTTATTATTTTTAGTTTATGTGTATGACTATTATGCCCACATGTAAGTGCACCCGTGCCATGCAATGCCCGCAGAGGTCAGAAGAGGCTGTCGGATCCCCTGGGACTGGAGTTATGGACAGTTGTTAGCTGCCATGTGGGTGCTGGGATTTGAACCCAGGTCTTCTGCAAGAACAGTCAGTGTTCTTAACCACTGAGCCATCTCTCCAGCCCAATATCATTCTCTTACTGCACTTAATCTATACATTTTTACATATGTGCAGAAAAAAACCATGATCTATATAGGGTTCAATATTATTTGTTTTCAGGCTTGCACTGGGGTCTTAGAATGTATTCTCCACGAATAAGTGGAGACTACAGCAATATTACTTCCAAGTACTGTGGTAGACCCCTGCAGAATGGCCAGGCATGGCAGCACAGCCTCTAATCCCAGCACTCAGAAGGCTAAAGCAGAATGAGCTCAAGATCAACTCCTGGACAACCTAGGAAGTTCAAAGCTACCTTGTCTCAAAAAAACTATGACAAAACTCCTTCAGGACTGTGGGCTTCCGCAAGGTTAGCCTCCGAGAACCAACTGGACTCTACCCTGACCCTCACACCCTTGGACTTACTGTCCCTGGGGAGGCTATATGGTCTGGCTCACTGAGGTCTGGGATCGGCACATGATCTTTGATTTATGCCACAGTAAAGGGTTTCTGTCAACCATGCCTGGGCTTGGAGTTGCCTATATGGTTCACTCAACAGAAGCACTACCTGATTCAAGAATCAGCACCAACTGAGGTGCCAAGGTTGCCATGGAGACAAGAAAGATGTTGCTTACTTGTCTGCCTGCCCAGCAACTGTGAGAAGTCAGCCCCTCTGAGCCAGGGGTCTCTCTCTACATCAGACCAGAATCTGGGAAAGAGAGGGGTGATTGAGAGTCTCATCAGGAAAGTTTCTGGGGCAGGGATGGAGAGACGACTCAGTGGTTGAGAGCACTGACTGCTCTTGCAGAGGACCTGGGTTTGATTCCCAGCACCCACATAACAGCTAACAACCATCTGTATCTCCAGTTCCAGAGGATCCAGTGCCATCTTCTGACCTTCATGGGCATTGCACAATACAAGTGCACTTACATACATGCAGCCAATATATTCATACACATAAAATAATTTTTAAAATTAAAAAATTTTTAAAAAGAAAGTTTCTAAGGGTAATAAAGAATAGAGAGAAAGAGAGAGCACACGGAGGAAGGAAAGCAGAAGAAATCAGGAAGGGGAAGTATGGTAAGAGGAAAGCGAGACTCAGCTTGAAGTCATTCAATCGGGAGCAACCGGGGAGGTCATGGTTAGCTTCATGTGTCAACTGAACTGGGCTAAAGATGCCCAGAGATTTCCTTAGCTCTGAATATGTCTGTTGAGGAGATTTCTGAATGACAATAACAGTTGACTAGGGAGACCAGTGTGGGCATCATCCAATCCACCAGGAACTCAAATAGAGCAGAAAGGTTGGGGAAGAGAAATTCACTCTCCCCTTGACCCGGAGCTGGGGCTTTGTCTGCCCTCACCCTGGAGTTGCACCATCGGCTCTCCCATCTCCAGCTCACCAACTGCAGGGCACAGGACCTCTCACAGTTGTGTGAGCTGATTCCTTAACAATGAATCTCTTGATACAGCTCCCGTTGGATTGTTCCTGTATCTCTGAGGAGTTCAGATACATACTGTATCTAGCCACTCTCTAGTGCCTTCTGTGAGTTCCTTTCTCTCCAGTACCTCATTAATTTCCTTTCTCGTGTCCACTACTACCTTCTAGTGACAGTTTTGTTTCCTTGTATAAAACACGAGACTGTCCTTCTTATGCAATGCACACATGTGGTACAGTGCAGACCAGGACATGGCACTCACTAATGACCATGGTAGAGCAAAAGAGAGAGGAAACATAAGAGGGATAATATTTGTTAGTTTTCCTTTCATTTTATTTGAGACAGGGCCTCATGTAGCCCAGGCAGACTTCAATATTACTATATAGCCAAGGCTGGCCTTGAACTTCTGATCTTCCTGCCTCCTATTCCGAAGTGTGGGATTATAGGAAGAATGTACCACCACATTAGGCTTTTAAGATGTATATTATGAGCAATGAAGAAGTGGTTCCTTAAAATAGATCAGAATCTCAGTCCCCAGCCCTACCATCGTCAGTCATTTCGCATTAGCCTGCTGGGGCACATGACAGGTTTGCATCATACTGTCTCTGAAACAAAGTGCTTGCCTGCCACAGTCAGAAAACACTGTTGCAGCCTATGTTCCAAAGAACTGTCATGCACACCCTGAGGCCACCAATGGAGGTTATTCAGAGGCCAAGTCCTCTGCTCTGTTTTAGAGACAGGGTCTCACTCTGCACTGTGCATTCTAGGCCATTCTCAAACTTAGGGCCCTTCCTCTACCTCCTGAGTGTTGGGATTCTATGCATGTACCATCATGCCCACATTCTCTTTTTTTAAAAAAAATTTATTTATTTTATTGATATGAATATTTTTCCTGCATGTATGTATGTGCACCATGTATGTGCCTGGTGCCCAAAAAGACCAGATTACATTGGACCCCCTGGAACTAGAGTAACAGAAGTTGTGTATTGGGGCTGGAGAGATGGCTCAGCAGTTCAGAGCACTGGCTGCTCTTTCAGAGGACTCAGATTCAGTTCCCAGCACCCACATGGCAGCTAACAATCATCCTTAATTCTAGTAACTTCAGTTCCAGGGGATCTGACACTCCCTTCTGGCCTCTGTTGGCATTGCACACATGTGGTATGCTTAATATACATGCAGGCAAAACATTCATGTAGATAAAATAAGAACCAATCAATAATTTTTCTAAAGTTGTGAGTTGCCATTTAGGTGCTGGGAATGGAACTCTGGTCCTTTTAACCATTAAGCCATCTCTCCAGTCCACCCCTACACACACACACACACACACACACACACACACACACTTTATTTTGAGACAGGGTCTCACTATGTCATTCTGGCTGGTCTGGAACTCATTATGTAGACCAAGCTGGCCTCAAATTCACAGAGATTTGCCTGCCTCTCTCTCCCCAGTTCTGCAGTGTTGGGACTGAAGGCATGCCCTGCTTTTTTTTTTTTTTTTTTAATGAATACTTTGTTGGTCCAATACAACTTGTTCATTGATCTCCTGGCTTCCAGAGGAGTTTCCCAAAAGTACCTGAGCTGACAATACCAGCCATAGAAGACAGTCAGGCTACTGGCTGAGGTGATGGAACTCAGGAGGGAAAGCAGCCTGCAGGGAGAAGTGAGACTAACCGAGGTGATCATCGCAACTAGACTCTGCCCGTTCTCTGGGACCTTATAGGATAAGGATCAGGGATCAGGTGATGCCAACACTTGTTTTCGCAGCCTGCTTCCCATCAGACTACAACAAGCTCTCTGACTAATTGCTAGGTTTTTCCTTGGTACCACTGAAGCTAAATGTGGTGCCCTAGTCCATTCAGGCTATTAATAGAAGACTACAGACCAGGAAGCTTATAAACAACAGACATTTATTTCTCATAGTTCTAGAGGTCCAGCTGGCTTCCAGTAAGAGCTCACATCCTGCTTCATACATGGCCATCCTCTTGCTGGTCCTCACTCGGTAGAAGGAGCAAAGGAGGTCTCTGCAGTCTCTATTACAGGGTGCTAATTCCATTTAGGAGGACTCAAGCCTCATGACCAAGTCACATCCAAAGGCCCTGCTTCAAACACCTGCCTCCTTGGGAACTGGATTCAACATATAAGCTCTGGGAAAACACAAACATCATCTATTACACGTACATTTATTTGTTCTCAGTCTAGCATCCCAAGGCTGCTGGGACCTACTATATAAGGAGAATTCCTGCTCCTGTAGACAATGATCTGAACTTAAAACCCCACTGAGAGAACTGCTGCCTTTTAGGAGGATGATTCATGGTCTCTGATGCAGCTCGTCCGAATAAGAATGTCATGAACAACTCTGAGGTCAGAAGTTGTACGTCCTCACATCGCCTGGGGACAGTTGTGAAGCTGTAAGCCATGAAGCCTGACTCGGTCATCCTCACACACGCGGGCACGCAGCCTGGAAGAGGGGCTCTGCTCAGGGATGGCTTCACTCTTCCTGCGTCTCTGCTGATTCTATACTCTGGGATCCGCAGTCCCAGCAGGTGCATCTAGGAAAGCTCCGTCCTGTTTACTGCCTGGGGCGATGCGATGCTTCTGTCTTCAGCATCCGTCCGTCTCCCTAGGAGAGGCGCCACTGGCTGGGTGTGGGAAAGCAAGGAGTGGGCGAAGATGGCTCAGTCATCCTCGTCCTCGTCCTCATCCTCCGTGTCCTTGTTGGGGGCGCACCTCTGGAAGCACTGGACCACGGTGGCCAGGAAGAAGCTGGAGATGATGGCGGCGATGGACACGGCCACACCCGAGAAGATGATGATGAACAGGTCTGTGAGGGACAGACTGAACTTGCACTCACTGAAGCTGGCCTCTGACAGCTCACGCAGAGCCACCCTCCGGTTCTCCATGGGCAGTGAGCACTGGATGGCATCAAGGCCTGGGGGGAGGTGGGTAGAATGAGAGAGGGTTAGGCTGCAGTCCATGCCTGCCCAAAGTGCCCCAGGGAAGAAGTTCTTACAGCAACTGCTTGAATAATGTAAGTTTCACAGTGGTAAAGCTAGGCTTAAGCGGAGATATTCAGCTCTAGAGACATCCTCTTACTCATGAGTCGAGTGTAAAGCGTGTTTTTCCAGTAAGATGGAAGGATGCCATTTTGACAGGAAGCTCAGCAGCCTTCAATCCCTGCTCACTTTTGGTTTCTGTCAAACACTCAGGAAAACCTCACTCTCCATTTCAGCCCTTCCAGCATCATCTGAAAATCAGGATGCTTTCTTCCTACCTTGCTAATTAGCTCACTTGTACAGCCCTGCTAACTGCCCAGCACCCCACAACTGCCCTTTGGGGAGGGGTGTCATTCCTTCTCTGTCTCAGAAACAAAATAAAGAAAGCATATCTGAACTTTCTCCTTCCTTCCATCCTGGTCCATCCCTTGCACATCCACAGCCAACCCATGGGTGCTTTCCTCCCATGGGAACTGTTGCCTAGTTACCAGGTGGTACTTGTTCCTCTTCCTACATTAATGCATCTACTTTATAGACTCCAGTGATCTGATGGCCCAGAGCTCTGTGGGTTTGGAAACGGATGGTCGTTAGCTGCCATGTGAGTGTTGGGATTTGAATCTGGGTCCTCTGGAAGAACAGCAAGTGTTCTTAACCGCTGAGCCATCTCTCCAGCCCCTACTTCTGCACTCTTAACCACAGACTTTTTGTTGTTGTGCTTGGTTAGGGTTCTTGGTTTCCTTTTTTAATGTGTATGAGTTTTGCCTGCATGTAAGTAAGTGCACCCATGTAAGGTAATGCCCAAGGAGGTCAGAAGAGGGCATCAGATCTACTGGAACTGGAGTTACTGACAGATGTTAGCCACCATGTGGGAACCAAATCTAGGTCCTCTTCAAGAGTAGCTCTTAATTGCTGAGCCATCTTTTCAACCCCAGGTTAGTTTTGTTCTTAAGATTTATTTTTCAAAAGGGGTAGGGGGTGCTGGAGAGATGGTTCAGCAGTTAAAAGCACTTGTTGCTCTTCTAGAGGATCTGAGTTCCATTTCAACATCCATGTCAGAAAGTTCAAAAACACCTGTAACTTCAGCTCCAGGGGATCCAGTGCCTTCTTCTGGCTTCTGACCGCACCCTCACACACTGCATACACATGCACAGACACATAGATTATAAAATAAATTTTGTTTTTGGTTTTTTGAGACAGGGTCTCCTTGTAGCCACACTTAGCCTGGAACTCGTTATGTAGCCCAGGCTGGCCTTGCTCTCACAGAAAAATAAATCTTTT